TTTATGTATATATATATATGTTTATGTGTATATATATGTGTGTGTATATATGTAAAAATCTTGTAATCTCTTTTCTTCAACATATTAATCACAATTGTTTTATAGTCCATATATGTAAACCTCATTTTCACATGCATTTTATTTCTCTGTGTGTTGTTCCTGTCTCAATGTAAATCTTATAATTTATTATTGGATACTAAATATTATCTAATAAAATTTTAAATGCTTCATGTTATTTTCATACATTGTGTATAGACATTATAGTGTTGGGGAAGATTTTGCTAAATCGGGCCTTAGAGTTTTGCTATATTAGGCATTAGAGTTGGAGAAAATAAATGTATTGTGATATTTGAGTTGATTTAGAACTAAGTTTCAGTCTTTATGAAAGCAAGTCTAGCACTAATGTGTCATTACTTCTGTAGTATAGTACTTGAAGAAACCCAGCTGAACACTTGGTTTTACTAAAGTAACTGGCACTTTCTTTTATGTGCCTTAGAAATAGAAATTCTTCATCTCATGATAATGAGATAGTCCAAAGCTCTGTTTGACCTTTCAACATTTTGTCAGCTGCCTATAAATAAGCAAATGTCTCAAAAGAAAAATCTACTCTAAATGTCAAGATCACTACCCTATGCTTCCTTTCTTTCATAATTTTGAACGCTCGGCCTAGATGTCTTGAGTTCTCCAACTCCATCTTTTATCTCTCTAGCTCCAGGAAACTACAAAAGCCACTGTCTGGCTTCTATACAATTAGCCATTGCTTTCTGATTAGGTTCTGCCTTTGAATCAGGAAATGTCTATAGGAGATAGATATCCCAATTACTTAGATTACACATTGTATACTTGTATCAAAATATCACATATAGCTCTTGAATGTAAAAATCTATCATGTATCCACAAATATTAAAAATTTAAAGAAAATTTTAAAATAAAAGCATAAAAAAGAAAATACCTCCAGGAGGAAAGCACAGCACAGTGTAGGGTTTGCTACAATCTCGTTTACTTTTCTTTAGTTTCTTTGGTCAGTTTAATGTTAGCTTGACTTTTCTCAAATCCTTTAAAAGGGATAATTTTTGGTTGTTTCTGGACTTTCTCTAGTATTTGCTCTTGATGGATAGTTTACCCCATGTATGTTTTAGATAGTAACCAGACAGAGCTTTACATTAGTGCTGCCAAGTGTCTAATTCTGTTGCTGCTGAGCTTTTGCATCAAAGAACTCTCTCACTGTCTTCTGTTTTTTTCTCTCAGCACTGCTGTAATTTGGACTGCACTTGATAAATTTAGAAATATATTGGCATCTTAGACTCGTACCTTCCTCCTAGAGACCCTAAAAATGAAATATGTATTATAATTTTTTAAACTTTTTTTATTTTGCTGTATTTGGATAACTTTTAGTAAGCAAAGGAGAATACCAATTCAAACAGCCCTTATCTTAGAAATCAAATTGTACTTTTTAAGGTGATTCATATAGTTACCTTTGAAGGTAGTACTCTTATCGATGTACTCTATGTGAAAAAAAATTCATAATACATATTTTTGGTTAGGTTGAAATAATGACATGAAGATATCTAATACATCTCATCTGTTAAGTATTACTGTTTTCAGAAATCTGTAAAAACAATCACGGACACATTTTGCCAAAAACTATCGTGTGTGGTGGTTAATATTGAGTGTCAATTTGATTGTATTGAGAGATGCAAAGTACTGTTCCTGGGTATGTCTGTGAGGGTGTTAACAAATGAAATTAACATTTGAGTCAGTAGACTGAGAGAGGCAGACTCACCCTCCATCTGCGTAGACACTGTCTAATCAGCTACCAGCATAGCTAGAATAAAGGAGGCAGAAGACGGAACAGCAGACTGGCTGTCTTCCAGCCTTCATCTTTCTCACATGCTGGGTGCTTCCTGCCCTCAAACATCAGACTCCAATTTCTTCAGCTTTTGGACTCTTGGACTTAAAGTAGTGGTTTACCAGGGGGCTTTCTGGCCTTTGGTCACAGACTGAAGCTGGCACTGTCAGCTTTCCTACTTTTGAGGTTTTGGGACTCAGACGATTCCACCACTGGATTCTTTGTTCCTCAACTTGCAGATGGCATATCATGGGAATTTACCTTGTGATCGTGTGAGTCAATTATCTTTAATAAACTCTTTCTTATATATACATATATATATATATACACACACACACACACACACACACACACACACACACACACACACACACATTAGTTCTGTCCCTGTAGAAAACCCTGACTAAAACAATGTGGAAAACATGTACATATACAAACATTTACATTAAGTATGTTTGGTATGATATGTTCTAGGTGGAAATACAGCAAGGTAGTGGTTTTTAGCATCGAGATTTGACTTTGGAAATATCTCATACAAACATTATATCAGTATTATAAGTTTGATTTATGTATTCTCCCCAATCTTAAATTTCATAATCTATAATTTCCGTAATTATTGATGTAATGTATATAAGAGGCTTACCATAATTTAAATCTCATAATCTCATTATTACAAATTTAAATCTCAATGTATTTGCCCAACATTATCATCCTAAAATACTTATGTTGCAGGAGGCTAATCTAATTAACTCTTATCATGAGGTGGAAATAATGAAGAGAAATAATATAGTGATTTTATCTGAATTTTCTCAAGTATATTCTAGCTGTAAAAACGAGAAGTGAAAGAAGAATCTAATTAGGACAGAATATGCCAATGTTACATACATGGGGCTCATTGTAGGTTTGAAGAACAGTTCAGTATGATTGGCATGGAGCCTGTGTTATGAAAATGGTAGAAGCTGAGACTGGGCAAGAAATTGAGTCATATCATGAAAACCCTCATAGATAGTTCTGAGGATTTAGGACTTTATCCCATATTGGTTGATGGGAAGGATATTAAGCAGTTAGAGGCATTATATTTGTGTTTTAAAAAGAATATCTTGACACAAATCAAATTATCAAGTTTGTGGACATCACATACATCTTGTATTCCTCACTAGTGATAGAGCATGTTTCTAAATATTATTGCTTTGAAGCATATAATAGGCTTCATTGTACTGAAAACTTTAATTAGTTGCATTTACATTTAAATAATTCTAAGAGTTACTGGAGATAATAACTAATCACATTTGAGAATTATATTACAATTCCAAAGTAAAAATCAATTTATTAGTTTGCTCTATAAATAGTCACTGGATGTTTTGGTGACATTTGACACCGATATTCAATAATACAGCCAGTTCTTAGATAAATATGATTTATTCCAAAGTCTTCATAATCTTGTTTGGCATTCAACTGTTGCCCTGTTTTTATTATCACAATCTAAAAAAGGCTTGTAATTAAATTATGAAAGTTAAAAAATTGCTTGAATGTAATTCTTGGTGAAGTTTTATTACTATTACTGTCTCTAAGAAATAATATATAGTCAAATAATTTTTAATTAACTTATTTTTAATTGAGAAATAAAAATTGCACATATTTAGTGTAATGTTTTGAAATATGTACCGTGTGAAATGGCTAAATAAGGCTAAATAACATATACATTGCCTCATAAGCTTAGCATTTTTTTGTATGATGAGAACACTTAAAGTCTACTCCCTTAGCAGTTTTCTAAAATACAACACGTTATTAATAACCATAGACACCACACTATATAGATCTGTTTAATTTTTTTCTCCTACATAAAATTTTGTGTCCTTTGACTAACATCTCCCCAAACCCATCCCATCCCTTCAGTCCCTGTTAACCATCATTCTTCTCTTTATTTTTTTTAATTGCGGTACATGTGCAGATCATCAGGATTGTTGCATAGGTACATACATGGCAAGGTGGTTTGCTGCCTTCATCCCCTCATCACCTATATCTGGTATTTTTCCCCTCGTTATCCCTCCCCACTCCCCCATCCCTCCCCTAGTCTCCGCCAACTTACTGCAGTATGTGATACTCCCATCCCTGTGTCCATGTGTTCTAATTGTTCAACACTAGCCCATGAGTGATAACATGCAGGGTTTGCTTTTCTGTTCTTTTGAGTTTGCTGAGAACGATGCTTTCCAGATTCATCCATGACCCTATGAAGGACACGAACTCATTAATTTTTATGGCTGCATAGTATTCCATGACATATATGTGCCACATTTTCTTTATCCAGTCTATTGTTGATGGACATTTGGGTTGGTTCCAGGTCTTTCCTACTGTAAATAGTGCTGCAATGAACATACATATGCATGTGTATTTATAATAGAACAATTTATAGTTATTTGGGTATATACACAGTAATGGTATTTCTATTTCTAGGTCTTTGAGGAATTGCCACACTGTCTTCTGCAATGATTGCACTAATTTGCACTCCCACCAACAGTGTAAAAGTGTTCCTATTTCTCCACATTCTCTCCAACATCTGTTGTCTCCAAATTTTTTAATGATCACCATTCTAACTGTTGTGAGATGGTATCTCAAGGTGGTTTTGATTTGCATTTCTCTAATGGCCAGTAATGAACATTTTTTCAGATGTTTGTTGGCCTCATAGACATCTTCTTTTGTAAAGTATATGTTCATATTCTTCACCTACTTTTGAATGGGTTTGTTTTTTTGTAAATGTATTTTAGTTCTTAGTAGATTCTGGATATTAGCCCTTTGTCAGATGGGTAGATTGCAAAAATTTTTACCCATTCTATTGGTTGCCAGTTCACTCTAATGATTGTTTCCTTTGCTGTACAGAAGCTCTGGAGTTTATTTCGATCCCATTTGTCTATTTTGGCTTTTGTTGCCATTGCTTTTGGTGTTTTAGTCATGAAGTCCTTGTGTATGCCTATGTCCTGAATGGTTTTGCCTAGATTTTCTTCTAGGGTTTTTATGTTTCTAGGTCTTATATTTAAGTCTTTAATCCATCTGGAGTTAATTTTAATGTAAGGTGTCGAGAAAGGGTCCAGTTTCTGCTTTCTGCACATGGCTAGCCTGTTTTCCCAACACCATTTATTAAACAGGGAATCCTGTGCTCACTTCAGCAGTACGCACACTAAAATTGGAATGATACAGAGCAGATTAGCATGGCTCCTGTGCAAGGATGACATGCAAATTTGTGAAGCATTTCATAATAAACAAAACGAAACAAAAAACAGGGAATTTTTCTGCCATTGCTTGTTTTTGTCAGATTTGTCAAAGATCAGATGATTGTAGATGTGTGGTGTTGCTTCTGAGGCCTCTGTTCTGTTCCATTCACCTATGCCTCTGTTTTGGTACCAGTACCATGCTGTTTTGATTACTGCAGCCTTGTAGTATAGTGTGAGGTCAGGCCGTGTGATGCCTCCAGCTTTGTACTTTTCACTTAGGATTGTTTTGGCTATGCTGGCTCTCTTTTGGTTCAATATGAAGTTTGAAGTAGTTTTTTCCAGTTCTGTGAAGAAGGTCTTTGGTAGCTTGATGGGAATAGCATTGAATCTATAAATTACTTTGGGCATTATGACCATTTTCACAATATTGATTCTTCCTACCCATGAGCATGGAATGTTTTTCCATCATTTGTTTACTCTCTTATTTCATTGAGCAGTGGTTTGTAGTTCTCCTTGAAGAGGTCCCTAACATCCTTTGTTGGTTGTATTTCTAGGTATTTTACTCTCTTTGTAGCAATTGTGAATGGGAGTTCGCTCATGATTTGGCTGTTTGTCTGTTATTGGTGTACAGAAATGCTTGTGATTGCTGCACATTGATTTTGTATCCTGAGACTTTGCTGAAGTTGTTTATCAATTTCAGGAGATTTTGAGCTGAGACAATGAGGTCTTCTAGATATACAATCATGTCATCTGCAAATGGAGACAATTTGACTTCCTCTTTTCCTAATCAAATATGCTTTATTTCTTTTTCATGCCTGATTGCTGTGGGTAGAATTTCTAATATTATATTGAATAGGAGTGGAGAGAGAGGGCATCCTTGTCTAGTGCCAGATTTCAAAGGGAATGCTTCCAGGTTTTGCCCATTCAGTATGATATTGGCTATGGGTCTGTCATAAATAGCTTTTATTATTTTGTGACATGTTCCATTGATACCTACTTTATTGAGGATTTTTAGCATAAAGAGCTGTTGAATTTTGTCAAAGGCCTTCTCTGCATCTGTTGAAATTATCATGTGGTTTTTATCTTTGGTTCTGTTTATGTGCTGGAGTATGTTTACAGACTTGTATATACCAACTTTGCATCCCTGGGATGAAGCCTACTTGATCATGATGAGTAAGTTGTTTGATTTGCTGTTGCATTCTGTTTGCCAGTATTTTATTGAAGGTTTTTGTGTCTATGTTCTTCATGGATATTGACCTGAAGTTTTCCTTTTTTGCTGAGTTTCTGCCCGGTTTTGGTATTAGGATGATGTTGGTCTCATAAAATGAGTTGGGGAGGATTCCCTCTTTCTGTATTGTTGAGAATAGTTTCAGAAGGAATGGTACAAGCTTCTCTTTGTATGTCTGGTAGAATTTGGCTATAAACCCATCTGGACCTGGCCATTTTTTAGTTGGTAGGCTATTAATTGCTGCCTCAACTTCAGACTTTGTTATTGGTCCATTCAGGCTTTCAACTTCTTCCTGGTTCAGTCTTGGGAGAGTCCAAGTGTCCAGGAATTTATCTAATTCTTCCAGATTTAATGGTTTGTTTGCATAGAGTTGTTTGTAGTAATCTCTGATGGTTGTTTGTATTTCTGTGGGATTGGTTGTGATGTCTCCTTTATCATTTTTTATTTAATCTATTTGATTCTTCTCTCTTTTCTTTTTTAGTAATCTGGCTAGCAGTCTGTCAATTTTGTTGATCTTTTTGAAAAAACAACTCCTGGATTAATTTTTTGAAGGGTTTTTTGTGTCTCTGTCTCCTTCTGTTCTGCTCTGATCTTAGTTATTTCTTGTCTTCTGCTAGTTTTTGAGTTTTTCTGATCTTTCTCTTCTAACTCTTTCAATTTTGATGATAGGATGTCGATTTTAGACCTTTTCTTGCTCCTCATTTGGGCATTTATTGCTATGAATTTTCCTCTGGACACTGCTTTAAATGTGTCTCAGAGATTCTGATATGTTGTGTCTTCATTCTCATTGGTTTCAAAGAACATCTTTATTTCTGCCTTCATTTCATTGTTTATCCAGTTGACATTCAGGATCCAGTTGTTCATTTTCCATGAAGTTGTGCAGTATTGAGTTAGTTTCTTAATTCCAAATTCTAATTTGATTGCCCTGTAGTCTGAGAGACTGTTACGATTTCCATTCTTTTGCCTTTGCTGAGAAATGATTTCCTTCCAATTATGTGGTCAATTTTAGAGTAAGTGTGATGTAGTGCTGAGAAGAATGTATATTCTATAGATTTGGGGTTCAGAGTTCTGTAAATGTTTATTAAGTTTGCTTGGTCCAGATAATGCATTCAAGTACTTGATTTCCTTGTTGATTTTCTGTCTCATTGATTTGTCTAATATTGACAGTGGAGTGTTAAAATCTCCCACTATGATTGTGTGGGAGTCTGTCTCTATGTAAGTTTTTAAGGAATTGCTTTATGTATCTGGGTGCTCCTGTCTTGGGTGCATATATGTTTAGTATAGTTAGCTTTTCTTGTTGTGTTGATCCTTTTACCAATATGTAATGCCCTTCTGTGTCTCTCTTGATTTTTGTTGGTTTAAAGTCCATTTTATGAGACTAGGATTGCCACCTCCTTTTTTCTCTCTGTCTCCATTTGCTTGGTAAATCTTCTTCTGTCCCTTTATTTTGAGTCTATGTGTGTCTTTGTACATAAGATGGGTCTCCTGAATAGAGAACACCGATGGTGCTTGGCTTTTTATCCAATTTGCCAGTCTGGGTCTTTTGATTTGGGCATTTAGTGTGTTTACATTTAATGTTAATACTGTTATTTGTGAATTTGATCCTGTCATTTCATTGCTGTCTGGTGGTTTTGCCTTTTAGTTGACACAGTTTTTCATTGAGTCATTGGTCTTTACCATTTGGTATGTTTTTGCAGTGGCTGGTACTGGTTGTTCCTTTCTTTGTTTAGTGCTTTCTTCAGGAGCTCTTGTAAGGCCAGCCTGGTGGTGATGAAATCTCTCAGCAATTGCTTGTCCATAAAGGATTTTATTTTATTTCTCTATCACTTATAAAGCTTAGTTTGGCTGGATATGAAATTCTGAGTTGAAGGTTCTTTTCTTTAAGGATGTTGAATATTGGCCCCCACTCTTCTGGCTTGTAGGGTTTCTGCTGAGAGATCTGCTGTTAGTCTGATGTGCTTCCCTTTGTGGGTGGCCTGACCTTTCTCTCTGGCTGCCCTTAGTATTTTTTCTTTTGTTTAAACCCTGGTGAATCTGATGATTATATGCCTTGGGGTTGCTCTTCTAGAGGAATAATGTTGTGGTGTTCTCTGTATTTCCTGTATTTAAATGTTGGTCTGCCTTGCTAGGTTGGGGAAGTTCTCCTGGATAATATCCTGAAGAGTATTTTTCAGCTTGGATTCATTCTCCCCATCATCTTCTGGTACACCATTCAAGTGTAGATTAGGTCTTTTCACATAATCCCATATTTCTTGAAGGTTTTGTTTATTTCTTTTCATGCTTTGTTCTCTTTTCTTGCCTACTCATTTTATTTCATTGAGTTGATCTTCAATCTCTGATATCCTTTCTTCTGCTTGATTTATTCGGCTATTGAAAGTTAGGCTGGGTGTGGTGGCTCAGCCTGTAATCCAAGTACTTTGGAGGCCAAGGCAGGTGGATCACCTGAGGTCAGGAGTTCAAGACCAGCCTGACCAACATGGTGAAAGCCTGTCTTAAAAAAAAAAAAAAGGAAAAAGAAAAAAGAAAGAAACTTGTGTATGCTTTTTTGTTAATTCTTTTTTTTTTAATTGCACTTTAGGCTTTGGGGTACACGTGAAGAACATGCAAGATTCTTGGATAGGTACACACATGGCAGTGTGATTTGCTGCCTTCCTCCCCTTCACCTATATCTGGGCTGTGTTTTTCTGCTCCATCAAGTCATTTCTGTTCTTCTTTAGGCTGGTTATTGTAGTTAGCATTTCTTCTAACCTTCTTTCAAGGTTTTTAGTTTCTTTGCATAAGGAGAGAACATGTTCTTTTAACTCAGAGAAGTTTGTTATTTCCCATCTTCTGAAGCCTGCTTCTGTCAATTTGTCAAGTTCCGTCTCTATCCAGCTTTGTTCCCTTGCTGGTGAGGAGTTGTGATCTCCTGGTTGGGGAGAGACATTCTGGTTTTTGATGGTCTCATTCTTCTTACACTAGTTTCTTCCCATCTCCTTGGATTTATATAGTTTTGATTTCCGGTAGCTGCTTGAGGAGGTGGCCTTTCCATTTTCTACCTGCATAGGCATTGCTGGGCTGCCATGGATTCAGTGGAGCTGATGCATTTTTTATTTACTCAGGAAAATTAGACCAGCTTCTGCAATGGCAGCTTCCCTTCTCCCCACCGAGCTCGATCATTCCTAGTCACTCTCTAACTGATGTTCTGGGTGCAAAACTCTGGAGTGAGAGTTTTTTAGCTTGCTAGGCTTTGTTGCAGGGGGACCCGTCCTGCTATATGGGCTGTTTACTTGTTTTCAGTTACCCTTCTTTCGGGGTGGGGGTGGGTGGCTCGGTCCAGCCAGCTTTCTGGCTTTTGTGTCAGCCAGTGCTTCCACCTAAATCTATGCTGACAGCCCTGGCACTGACTGAAGTTGCTGTTCTGCCTTGTTCAAGCAGCTTGCTGAGGCTTTTCAGCCTGGCAAAGATCTCCTGTTCTGTGGGTTGTAGAAGGCTTGGGTAGAGTGCTGTATCGGAACAGAGGTCACAGAGAGGGACCTCCTGGGTGGCACAATACCCCGCCTTGCCTCAACTTGCCCTATTTGGTTTATACCCACTGTCCAACCAGACCCACAAAATGAACCTAGTGCTTCATTTGGAATTCTGGAGACCACTCGGCTTCTGCATCTCTCACTGGGAGCTGCTTTTCAGAGCTGCTGCTTATTCGGCCATCTTGGGTTTCCCCCCTTCTCTTCATTTTTATGAGTTCAACTTTTTCAGATTCTGCATATAAGTGAGATGATGTGGTGTTTGTCTTTCTGTACCTGTCTTATTTCACTTAACATAATGTCTTGCAGGTCTGT